AAGCACTGATTACAGACAGTGTCTTACAAATACTTTATGTTCCATAATGTGGAAAATGGATGGAAACATGGTTTATGTACCCATCGTGTACTGGCAACTTCCACCAATTGCAGAGCTTCAAGGAGTTAATAAAGTTGAGGAGGAGAGAAGAATTATTTTCCCAGCTGTAGAAACAGGCAATGGTAACCTTTCCAGTGTTCCCTAACAATTCTGTACATTAGAAGGGACTTCAGAGTTACTCATGAGAAGACAAGCTAACATGCCTTCATTTTTTTTTAATCCCACATAATTTTTTTAAGTGGCTTTGGCATTTATTTTGTGCCTCAAATGTCCAGAAACACTCCCATTTTTTTGTGGTTTGTCCTGGCAGCCCTGTGGCCTGAGTCTTTGGGATGGACTGAGATAGCAAGCCCCCATACTTTTGAATCTTTGGTGGGAATCCTCCAGTCCCCTAACGGGCTCACCTCCCAGAAGCAGCAGAAGCTGCAGGTCCTCAAAGATACTAGAAAGGGCACTATGACTAATCACAACCAGTCGGGATTGGTGAGCCAGGCAGCCAACTGCAGAAGTCTGTCTGTTGTCACCTCAGGTCTGCAGTCGGGGCACACATTAAAGGTCACGGGCTGGTTTGATAGACTTCTACCCACACTAGACCTTGGAAGAAGTGTATTCCAGAGGCGAGCCTATATAACTTTGTATACAAGCTGAAACCTAAAACTGAAGGGAAAACTTCCTAAGAAACACTTCCTGGGTTGCGGGGAACAAAAAGCCAGAGAATTCCCCCACTGAGACTAGTTTAAAAGCTCCCTGAGAGATGGTTCCACTTCAGCACAGGTGGGCCTTGGAAAGAGCCAACTGCTACTCAAAAAAGGGTCAGCAGGGAGTCATCCCAGGCCACCTGGTCAGGCCAGGACCCTAACCCTCACATTCAGTCCAGCTTTGGAGCACAGGTTCCTACCTGTGAACACAGGAGCTGCCAAACCCTGCCAGGCAGGCATGGCCATACCTGTGCTGGCCTGAGACCTATAGCTTCAAACATCAAAAGTAGCACTCTAAATCCTCAGCTTGGCCAGGCCTTCCCCTTTCTAGCTAGAGCAGCGGTTCTCAACTGGGGGTGGCGACCCCTTTGGGGATCGAATGACCCTTTCACAAGGGTCGCCTGATCCATAACAGTAGCAAAATGACAGTGATGAAGCAGCAACGAAAATAATTTTATGGTTGGGGGTCACCACAACATGAGGAGCTGTATTAAAGGGTTGCAGCATTAGGAAGGTTGAGAACCACTGATCTAGAGCAATCTATCCTTTTCCTAGGACTGTGAGGAAGGCTGGCAAAAAGAGGAGACTGGATGGTGGTTGGCCATGACCAACCTGGTGTTGAAGCATAAGCTCTGGGGAGGACCAGCCCAGGGAAGTGCAGGCAGGGCCTTTCTAATCTCTTGGGAACCGGGCTTCCAAACACTTCATCCAGGCTAAACCCCCTGGTGACTCTTAGAGATCCTGTTACCATGTACATTCTGAGTCAGAATATCCAGAGTAGGAATGTAGATTGTCAGCAGGGCATCTACCTGAAATGAACTTTTTGAAGGCCTGCTTGGAAATATCCTCCAGGATTCTGGAGGACAAAACAGGAGAAGGCCCCCAGGGACTATCAATAACAGCGAGAACATCCTGGAGAAACAAGTCAGAATCCTCTTCCGAGGCCAGCTGGACAGAGCGGGGTGGCCTCCAGTTCTGGCTCCTGCAGCTCAGTTGTAGGAAAGGTAATCAATGAGCCGGGGAGGGATATTTAACTTGGCGATTTTCTCCAGTCCTCGGACACCAGTGGCCTTCCTCAAGCTCACTCTACAAAGCTGTGACAGGGTCAGAGGTGTCTCTGGGCGGGGAGAAAGAACAAGGAAGTATATGAGGGTGGCTTACAGAAATGGCATAATATATCCTTACACATAATAGGTACGAAGGTGGTATTGCAAGGGCCTCCCTGCAAGAGATGGAAGCTCCCTGAAAACCTTATCTTGAAGGTGATTAGAAAGGACAGTCAGGGACCTGAGAAAGGAAGATCAGGAAAGAGGATTTGGTAGAGGTCCACTGGGATCTAATTTTTTTTTAAGAGGCAGAGTGTTTTAATTTGGTATACAGATGTGTCAGTACAGAGTTAAGGGTTCACTCATAAACTTGTTGGTACTTGAGGTAGAGGTGGAAGGTCAGTGTCTAGGCAGCTGCTAGCTTCTGGCTGCTCCAGGCCACAGGTCCACTCTTGTTAATGAACAAGCTGCAGTTTGAAGGGTGCCTTGTACCAGCAGGTGTTTCAGCACAAACAGCTCCAGCAGACACAGTGTGAAAATGTAGTGGGGCCTCTGGGATTCAAGGCAAAGCTCTGAGCTGGAGCTCAAGGAGGGATAGCAAAGCAGGGGCCAAAGAGGAGAGATTGTTCAGAGTCCCTGGTAGCCTAGAGGGTGGGAAATACTCTCAAAGAGAAGTCTGCAAATATATTTATATATGAGGATGGGGAAATAGATCTATGTGCATATATTTATAGGGTTAGTATTGGGGTAG